TGCCAGGCGGCTCCTTTTCAAAATGCCGCTCTCGATTCAGCGCCGTGCACAGTCGTCTCAAAAATCTGCAAAACCTTCACGGATGAACGGCTGCTTCTTTTCAAAATCTGGCTCTCGCCTCAGAGCCACGCGCGTTCGAGTGACAAAGTTACAAAAACGTAACGGATGGAGGGTGTCTCGCGCCGCGCACATTCGTTGTTTTTAAAATTTGCAACCGTGTCCCAGATGGAAGGCGGCCCGTTGTCAAAATGTAATCCTCGCCTTGACGCCGCGCACATTCGTCTTAAATGTTTTCACGAGTTTCACAGATGGAGGGCGGTTCCATGTCCAAAATGCAGTCCTCGCCTTAGCGCCGCGCACATTCGTCTGGAAACCTCGCAACCGTTTCACGGATAACGGGCGAGCCATTTTCAAAATGTGGCTCTCGCTCCAGCGCAGCGGACATTCGCATTTAAAGACTGCAGGACTCTCACGGATGGAAGGCGGCTCGTTCAAATTTCGATTCTCGCCTTAGCGCTGGGCGCATCCGTCTTAAGTTTACAACAATTGAACGGGTTCTGATGGCTGCCGTCCCACGAACGGTGTTCCGGCGCGAAATAGGACTGTCAGGGCGCAACACTCATGTTGCTTCGCCGTATTGAACTCCCAGGAGCGGTGCTTTGACACGATGCAGTATCGTCAGCACGAAACAAAAAACTTGATTCGCGGCGTTGACGTTCAATGAATTGAATATTGACGCGATTGAGGATTCTCAGACAGTTGTCTTCCAACCGGGTACTTCCAGCAGTGACAAATAAATCCTTGTATGGACCTACAAAGAAGGAGCTTGAAGGAAGGGTTTATTGCAACATCGTTGATGCGTCTTGGGTTTGCACGGGTCCTCCTCCTACTCCTCCCTCCTCCTCCTCCTCCTCCTCCTTATCCTTCTCCTCCTCCTCCTTCTCCTCCCCCTCATCTCCGGTTCTACTTCCTCCCCTTTTCCGAGCCGCACCCTCGCGGATTAACGGTGACAGCGGCGGCGACAGAAGAGGGGGAGAGAGAGAGGGAAAGAGAGAGAGAGAGACAGAAACAAAAACAGAGAGAGAAGGATAGAAAGAGGGTGAGAGAGGGCGCGAGAAAGAGAAAAAGAGAGATTGGGGCGACGAGACAAGCTGGGTGCGCTCGCGTCATATCTGACGTCCTATCCCTCCCTCTCATCTCTTACCTCTGAAGGTAGGAAAGGGGTGCGGCAGAAAGGGGCGTGGTGCCAATCGTGGAAATGGAGATGTTATCTACGATAGGTAGCACCGCCAGGTACAGCGTTGGCACCACACCCCTTTATGCCACACCCCTTTCCGACCTTCAGATTACCATGGCGTGGATATCCTCTCCAAATTTACGGAAACGGAGCCAACGATGAAAGGGGAGCGTCACTGCGAAAGAGCCGGAGGTGCGGAAATTGAGCGAAAGACGAAGCGAGATCGTCTTCCTGCAAGGACCGACAACATCCGGATTGGAAAACGCACAAGGGAACACAGTTAGCGCACATCACGTGTGCAAAAATGTGCACGGAGGGGGAGCGAAAGCGTCGGATTGGAAAACACATGGGAAAGACCAAATATTTGAATCATGTGAAAAACAACACGCGGAGAAGGACGGGCTACTTTTTGAACAGCTTCGGGGGGGAGAAAAAAGAAGTCTTCGTATTGTGGAATGGCTACAAAGAGAAATGGGAAGAGAGTGAGGGAGAGGGATAAATAAAAAAGATGTATACTCCTCATCATCATCATCATCTTCCCTCCTCCTCCTCCCTCCTCCTCGTCCTCCTCCTCGTCATCCTCTCCCTCCTCGTCCTCCTCCTCCTCCTATTCCTCCCCCTTCTCCTCATCCGTCACTTCTCCATTTTTCTTAATATCTATATATATATATACAAACATCTACATATGAACATAGATATACATGTATTAATTATAGATATACATATTATATATGTATATGTATGTATATATGTATATACATATATGTATAGATAGAAAAGATAATAAGAATAGTAGTAACAATAATAATAAAATAATGATGATAATAATAATAATGATAATAATAATATTAATACTAATACTAATAAGTAATAAGTAATAAGTAATAAGAAGAATACATATATATATATGAAACTATAAAAACAAAACAACAAAAAAAAACAAACAAAAACTCCCTGTCGAGCATCGCCCCAGCGCCGCGCACCTGCGTCACAGAAGTTTGCGACAGCTACAAGAATGGAGGGCAGCTCGTTTGCAGAATGCGGCTCTCGCAGTAACGCCGCGCACACTCGTTTTCGAAGGTTGAACGGATTCGACGATGGAGTACAGGTAGTCATCCGCCACCGTGCCCTTGAGTTGACCAGCCAGGGAGTTCAGATCCCAATTGCACGGGAGTTCGGATTCGCGAGGATCCTTGAAGGGGCCCAGAGCCGAATTGCCAAATCTCTCGCGGCCTGGTGCCGCTCACCGCCGCTCCTCGCGCG